ATGACAACACCCAGATGATGCCATATGTTGAGAGCAACAGATATCATGATAATAATTACAGCCATCAGTGTAGACAACCATGGCAGACTCGACCATATTATGGTAACATAAGATTCAACAATCAAAATAACTATCATTTTCCAAGTCGAAATTATGCTAGATTTTGTGATCAAAATAGATGGGAAACTTTTATAATCACTACACAAGAGATAACAATAATTATAGATTTAATAATAACAACAAAGGACATAATAATAATTACAAGCTTTTTATAATTTCAAAAACCACAACAGATTTGACAACACCAGACAACCGTTTCAAAATTTTAGAGATTATAATAGATCTAACGTGCATCATCAATTTTACGATCGTGAAAATAAAAATTACATGAATCATAATCCTAGACACCAAGTACCTTATTCAAATAAAATTAATACAGTTGATATAGAAGAGATCGAAGACGACAAAATTATATCAATCGATAAGAAAGATTATCATTTGTTAAATATTGATATAAATAACGTAGAACAAAGTATAAAATGTTAAAGATGACGCATACATGGTGAACATCAAAATTAATAACATCTTGACTTCACTACAAGTGGATACGGGCACGAAATTCACAATTCTACCAAAATATATGATTGAGAAAGTGGGCATAAAAAACATTACGAAGTCCAACATTCAGTTATCTGGTTACGACGGCAATACCATACAAGTGATAGGCTCAACACGACTGAATAGAATACGAAGGAAGTTCTAAAATTTTAGATGCATTGATAGTAAACAGTAACAAGATGCCTTTATTAGGAAGATCTTGGTTGAAACATTTTAAAAACATACTTGAAAGATTTATAGGCTTAATAGACACGGATCATAAAAACGATTTAGCGGAATTAATATCCAATTGTAATGTAAGTCTAAATTAAATAATAAACCTGTTATAAAAACACAAGTCAGGTTACGACTAAAGTCAAATGCTAAGCCAAAAATAATACCACCGAGAAGGGTACCTTATTCTAGAGTAGATATTTAACTAAAGAATTAAATACCTGGCTGGAAAACAAAATCATCGAGCCAGTAAAAGACGTTAGATGGGGAGTCCACTCACACCAGTTTTTAACATTGGGAGTCTCAGATTGTGCGCCGACTTTAAAGACATAGTTAACCCAGCGCTTGAAGATTACCTAGAATTAACGATTTGTGCCAAGTTAGCTGGAGGAAAAAAATTTAGTAAGATTGATTTCAAACAAGCCTTCCTGTAAATTCCTATTCACAAAGACTCAAGAGATTTGCTAACTATATCCACGCATAAAAGATACTTTAGATTCACGAGACTTCCGTTCGGACTGAAAACGTCTTCAGCCATATTCCAACAGACTATGGAACAGGTTTTTGGAGATTTAAAAGATGTTATATTCTATATTGACGACTTGTTAATTACAGGTGATAACGATGAGATACATTTGGAGAATATTAAAAAAGTTTTCGAAAAAATCATCAAGTATGGATTAACCCCCAATTTCGACAAAAGTTTATTCATGCAAGATAAAATACGGTTTTTGGGATATGATATAGACAAACATGGCACACATCCCAACGATGATAAAATAAAAGCAAATATTGATATGCCGGATCCAAAAAATTCAGAAGAATTATCTACTTTCTTAGGCATGGCGAGCTATTACCGTAAATTTTTAAACAGTTTTGCGGATCTGGCAGATCCACTATACAAAATAATTAACAAAGATAAATGGTCTTGGGATACCGAACATCAATAATGTTATAAAAAATTAAAAACTTAAATCAGTCAACCTCCCACATTAAACTTTTTCAATCATGATTTATATATAGGTATAGCTGCAGATGCATCTAAACGCGGTTTGGGAGCTATTTTGAAGGGGAGGGCAAATAAAAGCCGATAGCTTTTGCCTCAAGATACTTACTTAAATCCAAAAGAAATTACATTAACATTGAACGCGAAGCATTGACGATTATTTTTGCGATGAAAAGATTTCAAGAATAATATCGGAACTAAATCTCATCACCGGTATATATTTTCCAAAGGTTTAAAAGAAAATCAATGTCGATGAGGTTGCAGAAGTGGAATATTGCAATGGGAGCTTACGTTTTCGAAATACTACATAGAGCGGGTAAACACAACACGGTGCCAGATTGTTTGTCCAGATTGCCATTAACATCTTCAGAAAATATACATTATGGATGATATGAAAGAAAATAATGATTTATGGGACGTACCAATTAACTTTAAAATGAATGAAAAAGAAACTTCTAACGACAGAGAATTAATGAAAATAATGAACGACATTAGAAACGGTGACACGATAAAAAATAAAACATATAACAATATGGTGATTGAATTATGTATTATGGGAAATTGTCTATTTAAAGAAAATAAAATCATCATACCTAAAGTTTTAAGAAAATCAATACTACAACATTTACACGAAGGACACTTGGGTGCTGGCAAAACCATATATTTAGCTAAGGATTACCTTTGGTGGCCTGGAATTAATAATGATATTGATAACGAAGTAAAGGAATGTAAATCATGTAACATTTGGGCCGATAATCCCATTAATACACAGCATCCTTGGATGTTAACTACGAAACCATTCGAAAGAATACACATTGACTACGCTGGGCCATTTTTTAACAAGTACTGGTTGCTTATAGTAGATGCGTACAGTATGTTTCCTATAATCACTCCGGTGAAATCAATAATCTAGGAATTTACAAAAAAGAATTGATGAAAACAATTAGCTTATTTGGTATTCCAGAACAAATAGTATCTGATAACGGCTCAAACTTTACAAGTCAACTGTTCAAAATATTTTGTAGAGACATCACTTTCAGACTTCAGCTCACCATCAACAGTCAAACGGGCAAGTTGAAAGGATGGTAAGAACCTTTAAATCACATATGAAGAAGTGCATGGAACAAAATAACATGGACATAGATATCGCTTTGGAGAAATTTTTGTTCAAATATAGAAACATGCCAAACATTACGACTGGCATTCCACCAAGAAAACTCATGTTCAATCATGATATGAGAACAAATTGGGATTATTAAAATATAAGGAAGACGACGACAACACTTTGTTCACTACTTTATAAAAAAAATAGAACGATGAACATTGGAGAAAAAATTTGGTATAGAAATTTTGGAGTAAACAAGTGGGATGAAGGGGTAATATTAAAAAAGAAAGTAATATGTTATTTCTAATTCAAACGAAAAATGGAAGGAGGAACTTATACCAACTTAAAAAAAGTTTTACCACTGATGAAGTATTAATTCATGACCCAAATACTTTACCAACGATTACATTTTTTAAGAAAAGAAATATTACTGAACAAGAAAAAGATTGTACAGCCGACATTCTAGCCGGAAATCATTTTGAAAATTATATGGAAGGAAAAAATAGTTAACAATAAATATTATATTTATTCTATAAGATAAAATATTTTTTTGAATGTTGTTTTTGTATTATTATACATTTGAATATGAATTAAAACTGCTAAGCTAATTAATTGTTAACATTATTAGAAAAATAATTTATCTAAACCAATTAGAAATGCAAAAAAATTTTTTTTTTATAAAGACCTTGAGGATGACTATTTTTATGAGGATGCTATTATATAAAATAATAAAATTTTTAAATGGTAAATAAAATTCTATGAATATTTTTGTATTAAATATAACTCCACACATTGATCATAGGCACGAGAAATTGAGTGAATCTTAAGAATGGGTTAGGGTTAGGCAAAGCAAAGACTAGGTTAAATACTAAACATGGTTATATGATTAAAATTTTGTAAATAAATGTTTTTTGGGGGGCGGGAAGGGCAACGCTGGCATCCCCTCCCTAATAAATTAAAATAAAAAATGTATTTGTATATATAATTAATATAAATTTTATCTATTGAAATTTTTAAACATTATATCTAAAGAAATTTTTTTATGTGATATTCATTTTTATTAACAACATTATTTATTTTTGAAAATTTTACATGAAAAATATGATGAAATTTTGTTAATTTTTCGGACATTTATGAAAAAATAACTATACCTTTTTCAGGTAACGTTTACAACACTGAAGTATCAAAACTTAATCAACTTTATATTAAAATCTACTTTAAATTTCGGCTCTAGTTTTATTTCTACCCTTCTTTCAGAACCAACGGATATATGTTTATATAATCACTCTCGTCTTGACATGAGTTCAGGTAAATAGAGCATGGCCATGAATTACTGGGAGATCATAACATTCTTAGAAATCAAATGTAGCACTCTTGTTCTCACAAATAAAAGTTGGGGGGGGGGGGGGGGTCGTTCAAAGTATGGCCTTAGCAAAATAAACTATAAGTTTGTTTTAATGATAGTATTATGAGTATATCTTCATATTTTTTGAATTGCATTATAACTGAAAAAAATGCTTTATAATTTTACACATTTTCAAGAAGTAAATTGAGATCGTAATTATCATTTACTTTTGGGTCTGAAAAATTTCTAAATTATAGCTTGGGTTGGACCAACAACGTGTTTAATAGGTCGGCTCATATTTAGTTTGGAATAATTTTTTATTATTATTAAAATATAATACAAATTAATTCTTTTTAAAAATTTATTACACCAATATTAAATTGCTAAATATTATGATAATAGTTGAGATTTTATTTAAAATATTATTCAGTCTATTTATTTTATGTAATCCTTTTTACTAAACTTGAGTAATATTCGTTTTTTGAAATTGATGTAGATACTTAATAATAATAGTTTATCTTTTATATTTATTGAAGGATTATTATTTTGTGTTTGTGGAATCCCAATTATTCCTTTCAATACAAAATTTAAGAGAATAATGTATCTGAATATTTTCTCTCTCCAGTTAAAAATACATTAGCTTAGACGGTAAATTTTGTAAATTTTTGTTTTATGATAGATTATCAAAACCTTCGTTTAGGCTGTGTTATTGTCATACCTTTATCTCCTGTCGGCAGTCTAGGTCATCACTCACTTCAATTGCCCTTTTTTAAAGTCCATCATCCGCGCCACCAAGCGATAAATTTTATTATTGCTAGAAATCTCCATTCAGCTCATATTCCATAAAATTTGGATCCTGTAGGTCTTAATCTTGAGAACAATATCAGGCCTGTAGGAATGACACTTATTTCATGGATAAAGCAAACGCTATCCTCCCTGAATTATAGTGATCGGTTTGCATCATCCTTTAGCTCTAATTCCTTATTTAAAGCGGAACCTAGAAAAATTAATAAATACATTAGCATTCCTAATGTTACTCTAATCCCCATTGATTTTGGCACAATCGGTGCTTTTCTCAGAGCAAAGATTTTTTTCAAGGCATTCTGACAAAAAAATGAGCTTAATTTCGAGTGATCCTCCATGAAGGTTTTTACCTACTTTAACAAATTTCAATTGAAATTTGTAGGTCTCATAGTATATCAATCCATGGTGCCATAACCTATTTTTAATACATTACATTATTTTATTACTTATATTAAGCCTATATCTTATATAGTAAATTGTAATCGTTTTTAATTCAAAATAAAAAAAAATATCTGATGTTGAACTAGTATGTAAAGAAAAGTTCAAAGTAGATGCAAAATACTCGTTTGTCATTATTGCCTGGAGTCAATAAATATGTGTAATAAAGAGTAAGCCAGGCATAACTCTGAAAGTCATCTTTTACTTATCTTTATTCATTTTATATAGTACTTATTATAATCATATGGAGAACCTGTGAATCAACAAAATTTTATATTAATTGTTATTTTCAAATCTTAAACTGTAATAATTATGATGTAATTAAATCATGAGATCCGCTTTATAACATTTTTTTAGATTATAAGGGTATTTAGGTATATTTGCTAAAATTGTGATTCATTAATATTTACATTCTTTCGAATTTATGATATTATATTAAATATTTGGGATCATTTTTATTCAAGATTATAAGGGTATTATGGTTAATTTACTTAGAATTGTGATTTTTAATTATTTACATTAATCTTTTTCCAATTTATAATATAACTTTAAGCATCACAAACGAATATTTTGTATGTGAAGTACTTTTCAAGAGGTTTTTTAATAAAAACAAATCAAGTGTTTTAGGTTCTATATTTGCA